CAAATTCATTAAAGTACATTTGACAAATAAGAATGCTGTGCATTTATGGTGCAACATGTTATTTTTATATATGTATGTACAGGACATACTTCCTGAAATCATTTCTTTGGCTGAATACATAGATGCTCATGAGATGAGACAATGTTTAACTTAAGAAACTACAAACTGAGTACTAGAGTGTCTGTACCACTTTCCATTCTCAAAAGCAGCTTATGATTATAACTACAATAAATCTTGCCAACACTTATCATTAAACAAATGTTCAGCCTTTATATTTTATGTGTATCTGTTGTCACAGGTACTTTAGAATGACATGAGTTGTTTGTCCTTTTTCCTATTGTTTTTTACTATATTTACCTTAATATCTATTTTTATACATAAAACATTACTGTAAAGAACTTTCAAATAAAAAAAAGTCATGTTAAAAAAAGAAGAGGGCAAATTAGTGAATCATTTTCAAAATGAGTGTTATATTTGAAAGGAATTTAAATACTTTTCAGATAATATGTTGCTGCAAAAAATTATAAAACAAAAAATAGAATGAAGGAAAATACAATGCTGAGATTGAGGAGCCCGAAAGAGCATAAAAACAAAAACAAGAGGTACAGTGTCTTCCTGAGCCTCCACATTGACATGTAGGGGCTGGAGTGATGTCTCAGCAGTTAAGAGCACTGGTTGCTCTTCATAGAACCCAGGATCAATTCCTGGCACTCAAATGGCATTTCACTATTATTTCTAACTCCAGTTCCAGGGGAACCAATGCCCTCTTCTGTCTTGTGTGGACACTGTATAAAAAAGGTGCAAGACATACACAAATGTAGAACATCCAGGAACATAACATAAACAATAATTAATCTTAAAGCACTGATATGGAATTGTCAGCTGCCAAAATTTTTATTTATATATTATTACTACTCATATTTACATATCCATGCCCCCATTCCTTCACCCTCCCATCCTCCCAAGTTCCCCATCAGCCCCCTAACCCATCCCCCAACTCATCCCCAGGGATGGTGAGGCCCTCCACCAGAGACCTTCAAAGTCTGTCATATTATACAGGGGGAGGGCCTAGGCCCTCTTTGCTGTATCTGGGCTGCAATAGTATCCCTCCATAGGGAATGGGCTCCTAAAGTCCATTTAAAGTTAAAGGACTGGCTCTACAGTTAAAGGCTGGCTCCACTGTTATAGGTCCCATAAACTGTCTTGGCCTTCTACCCTGCACCCACATCCAGAGGGCCTTGTTAAGTCCAATGCAGTTTCCCCAGCTTTACGACTGTGGTGTCAATGCTCTCAGTAAGTGGGTCAACTGTTTCTGCAGGTTTCTGCAGCACTGTTTTGACTCCTTTGTTCATCCCTCCTCTCTCT